TTTATTAAGTAATTTGATTTTGTATATTAAATAAAAAATGTTTTTCTAAAGGGTGTGATAACATAGAGTAGTAGTTTAGTTATCACTCTCCAAGCAGCAAGTCTAGAGTTTGATTCCCACCAGAGACATTTTTCAAAAAATAGATCTGTGTTATAGTAATATTTATTCAACGATCGGTTGGGTATATCACCTGTAACCTTGGTACTACTATCTCGTTATAGAAGCTCTAGGGCGATCCAAATCCAAGAAACCAGAATATTTGAAACCCGTTTGGCAAGACCTGAGCTAAAAGTAGTGAAGATCTTTGACGATACTGCAGAAAATCAGAACCGGAGACTGAAGAACCAGACGAACAATCCTGAGGCAAGAAAGGTTTACCAACCTGGCCGCCGGAGTCGTACCGAAAGAAAAGGTCTGATGCTACGGAATTTGGAACCAAGAGAAGTAAAACCAGAAAGCACTTAGAGCCTAGATATAACAACCTTTTCAGACTAATAGATTTGGTAGTTAGAGAAAGATCAGTATAAAGACTGATTGAAAGTGGATATCAGGATCAGAACAAATCTTGTAAAAGCAAGAAAGAGGTAATGGTAGTAGCTACAAAAGCTGCAAGTACTAGTCTTCAGATTAGGCATAAGTTACCGAAAAACCCAGGTGATACATGTGTAGGACATAGACTACTCTGGTAGGTTTACCACGAGGATAAAATAGTCCTAAGGGCCTTAATGGCAAGAATTCTTCTAGAGAAAGCATCTGATGGCGCTAAATCGATCAGAAGGTTTAAATAGGGGATCCACAAGCGGATCCTAGGTATAGCAATTGGTAGATAACTATAGATAGTATAGTGGAGTCTTTAAATAGACAATGACTAAAGTTGTACGTGTGACCAATTGTACTCTCGTTGATATAACAAAGTCAAGAGGTGTTTATTCGGTATCCTGATAATTGAACTAAGAAATTAATAAACTGTGCCAGACCCCAAAATGGTTACCTTAATATTAAAAAAAAAAATTGTTTTCTAATTAAAATACCCCTAGTTTCATAAAACCAAATTAGCAATTGTCTTAATAAAATTTTAAAAAAAATAGCCTCTAAAACTATAACTCTTCAAATTTTAGCCCTTTATAAAAATCTTCGATTTTCTTAAAATTTTATTAAGTAAATTGATTTTGTATACTAAATAAAAAATATTCTTCTAATCAAAATAACTCTAGTTTCATAGAACCAAATTAGTAATTGTCTTAATAAAATTTTAAGAAAATATCCTCTAAAACTATAACTCTTCAAATTTTAGCCATTTATAAAAATCTTTAATTTTTTTAAAATTTTATTAAGTAAATTGATTTTGTATACTAAATAAAAAATGTTTTTTAATCAAAATAACCCTAGTTAAATAGAACCAAATTAGCGATTGTCTTAATAAATTTTGAGTAAATAGCCAGGACCCAAACAATCTATATAGGAGTAAGAATTTTAAAAAATTTACCAAAAATAGAAGGATCTGTACAAAAATAGTCAAAAATAAGCATATGTCTTACTTAAAATAGAAAAGATCTGCAAAAAATAGTCAAAAATAAGCAAATTATATTCTTACCCCTACATAGATTACTCTGAGTCCTAAATAGTCTCTAAAACTATAACCTTTTAAATTTTAGCTATTTATAATATCTTCGATTTTCTTAAAATTTTATTAAGTAAATTAATTTTGTTTATTAAATAAAAAATATTTTTCTAATCAAAATAACCCTAGTTTCATAGAACAAAATTAGCAATTGTCTTAATAAAATTTTAAGAAAATAGTCTCTGAAACTACAACTCTTCAAATTTTAGCTATTTATAAAAATCTTCAATTTTTTTAAAATTTTATTAAGTAAATCGATTTTGTATATTAAATAAAAAATGTTCTTCTACTCAAAATAGCTCTAGTTTTATAGAACCAAATTAATGATTGTCTTAATAAATTTTAAGAAAATAGCTTCTGAAACTATAATTCTTCAAATTTTAGATATTTATAAATATTTTCAAATCAAATCAAATATTTGATCTTTCAATTTGAATTTGATTTGATTTGAAAATCTATATTTGAATTTGATTCAAAATTAAATATTTGAATCAAATCAAATCAAATCAAATCAAATCAAATCAAATACAGAACCCTAACTACGAGAATAAAGTAGTTCTAAGGGGCCTTAGTGACAAGAATTCTTCTAGAGAAAGTATCTGACAGCGCTAAGTCGATCAGAGGGTTTAAATAGAAGATTCACAAGCAGATCCTAGATATAGCAATTGGTGAGTAACTATAGATAGTATAGTGAAGCCTTTAATTAGACAATAACTAAAGTTGTACATGTGACCAATTGTACTCTCGTTGATGTAACAAAGTCAAGAGATGCCTATTTGGTATCTTGATAATTAAACTGAGAAGTTAATAAACCGTGCCAGACCCCCAAGTAATCATCTTAATATTTTAAAAAAAAAATTAAATTAATATTTAAAGAGTTCATTAAGAATAAGTAGATAATTTTTTTGGTTAAAAATTTTTTTCTAAATTGATATACTTTTATCTTATAAGCAACTTAAATTTTTTCTTATAAAATAAAATTAAATACTGCTATAAGGCGATACAAAAAAAATTTCATAGTTTTCATAACCCGGCCGAGTCAGAAAAGTCTGAACCCATAATTTTTTTTTAAGGTGTAGCATATAAGTAACTAATCAAAATGTGCAATTTAAAAGATTACTTCAAATTTTTGGATTTTAAGCCTATATACAAAGATTTAAACTTTTAAATTTATTATATTATATATACATTAGCCTGTATACAGAACATTTCAGTATCAGAATTTTAAACATAAAAGAAGGGCCCTAAACATAGTATTTTTCTATCAATAAAACCTTCGTGAACAAAGATCATTTCATATATTAGCTTTATATAAAACTGTACTTAAACAACAGGAGGAACTTTCAATATTACACAACTGATCTTTTATCTGATGTACAACATATAAAAAATTATTTTACAATACTAGACCATTCCATTATGATTATAATCCAACATCATTTTTATTATAATAAGATGGTATTAGATTATAATCATAACATGTACTAGTAGAATCTGATATTGTAAAATAATTTTTTTATATATTGTATACTAGGTGAAGGATCATTCGTATAATATCGACAGTTCCTTCTGTTACATTAAACAGTAAATAATTCTGTATACAAAAATAAATGCTATGTAGTTTATCAAAATCTGTATTGCTTACACAAATTTGATATCCATACTTCAAATTTTTATATCTATACTTTAACTTTGGTCAAATTTTATATCTAAACAACAAAGTTCTAATCTGTCTTGCTTATAAATGAAATCATAAGGCTATACATGATTGTGTATTACTAGACTATACAGAGGCTATATAGAATTTAAGAATTTTGAAATTTCTTATACCCAAAGTAAAACATGCAGCATTTGAAGGATTTAAATAATTTGATTACTTTTTGGCTACTCGATATTCATGTTCAGTATTCAAATAGTACAAAATGAACTGAATAGAGCTTTAAAATTGTGTTTTTAAGAAGGATGGATAGTGAGATACAGGTAAATAAGGGAATGAAAAAGTAAAAGTATAACCCTATTACTCATCCTAATGAATGCTTGGTAAGAGTTGTGTACATGACTTGCTTAGTGACCACAATTCTATATCATTATAAACAATAATAAAGTATATTCAGATGCTCTATATAAGATAGTTATATAATATTTTGCTTTACCAGGAACATAAGCAATGATTTGTAATTCGATATGTTAGTTCCTTTAGAATACAGTATCATAAGTATCATTTCCCAATTAGTTGTACCCAGCAAAAATAAGAACTTATCGATACAAGCATATAGATCATTGCATCATGAAATTACCAGATTACAACTTTAAATTAAAGTTACAATATAATGCAGTGGCTATTATGACAATGATAATAATAATCTGTAAATTGAAAAAATAAATTAGCTTTAGTTAAAAGCTTATTTAGTACTTATGTACCTATCTCCTGAAGTTATTAATCGAAGATATGATATTGCTGCAGCAAATAAGAACTGCAGAAAATAAATTCTTGGAAATTAATTTTATAAAAATTAAAAAATATAAAAGCACAAATATTTTACTTAAACTAAATTATTAGAAGAATAAATTTCAACTATCAGAGCTAAACTCGTATATGTAATGTATGTGTACAATGCTTACCCAAACAGATAATGACAAATTATTAAAAACTTTAGATTAGATGATCAGCATAATTATTACAATATGACAATTGTTCACATTTCTAAGTTAAGCTGATAATGAATTAACATTAATGAAAATAAATCAGTTACTACAAAAGTTTTAATGACTTTTTATATACTGTATATACTTTGTAATCTATTTTGAATTGAACATTAATAACGCTTTTTATAATCAAGATATCCTTGGGTTATAGTATGGATATTATCATTTGTTTTCACAATACCATTTGCTAATATATGTATTTCAAAAGGTTCAAAATTACTTTATGGATGGTGTATCCATTCTATTCCACATGAAATGTCAATTCAAGAATTTTTAATAAACTTATCACATGACAAATAACAGAAGAATGCAATATTAATATTAATTCATCAGAGGTTATAGATAGTATTGAATTAAGTAAATTAACAAATACTATCCTGACACAAGCTAGTCTTAATTGTAGCATCGTAGAACTTACTAATAACTTTAGAGTAAATATATATTATCATCTTAAAATTGACAATGATTCTTCAACTTTGCTATTACGAAATAGTTTTACAATTATGATGCAAAATACACAATGAAATCAATTATATTTGCCTAACCTTATATAATATTCTAAACCAAACTGTAAACAACTCTTACAACAAAATATAATCAATTAGATTAGTAATAACGGAGGGAGATGATCATTATCCACATACGCAAATTCAGAAGAAAAGCAGTTCGTAACATGTCTTACAGAAATAATTTGATATATCAATATGTAAGATCACACTAAATTTGAAGTGCATGGTTACCATATTCCACAAATGTTTATAGAGTTTTTTAGGCATGCCAATCCTGAATCGTATAAAGAAGGATGAAAGAATTTTGACACAAATGAATTTAATTTTTACAATCAAGCTCTCGCACATTATATTACAATGCCATGGATGCTAACACCAAGATTTAAATAGCTTTGTGATTCACTTGATGGTTTGATTATAACAATTTCAAATTATGTTAGTTTTCTTCAAAAACAAAATCAAATTACTGTCGCAAATCATAGTTCTGAGATTACTATATGAAGTATAGAAAAGTCTACAAGTATTAAGGTTCATAAACAAAATACTTGGATTATGCCAACTAATAAAATTAAATACTGTGAATTAGAAAATACACTCTTTAGTTTACTACTATAGAAGCCAATCGATATTGAAGAGTTTCTACCTATAGACCCCATGTAAGTATATCCAGAAATAAATTAGTATCGTAAAATCCTTATCAAAACATATGTATGTATTCACTTATTAGAATTATAGTTGTGTAATCATTATCTGTTAAAAATTGATATGTGTATATTTTAAAATGTTTTAAAAATAAATCTAATTAATTTGTATTTATCAAGACAAAGATTGCGATATATACAAGGATTTATTTATGCATTTTCTTTCAAGATTTGTAAATACAGATCTAATTTCAGAAACAATGCATTTAATACTATTTCAATTTGGAAGGTTGACAAAAGTGTTGATGAAACATTAGCTCTGCAAAAAAATACATTTATTGCCAATAGTTTACAAATTCACATACCACGTTATCATACAAGGGGAATGCAAATCAAATACTTACACACTTGTGATATGCTTTTGCCAAATGTAAAACTAGCAACACTTAGAATGATTTATCAAATATTGACCAGAAATGTTTCTGTAGCAAAATCTGTAGATGAAGCAAAAATTGATACCTGTATTAAGCTCACTCTAGATTTTGGAGATCTAGAAGTTACTCTTGACTTACGAGAACACAATACTGGAAGACCTTCTAAGTACAATGCTTTTTAGAAAACTGCGACCCAATATTTTGTGGGCAAAGCTACAGATGCCATAATAGCTGTTGATGAATAGCACCATGATATTGTTGTTCATTTTGCCATAGCAATTTCTGTAAACAATTTATTAATACAAATCAAAAATGAATGTATATTTGAAACTGCAATTCCCAGTGCCCAATGGCTTCGATTGCAATTTTGGCCAAAAAATCTATTCCAAATTAACAGTTTGCAATATACTAGCAGATTATCTATAAAGTATATGGTTCAAGCATATCAGTTACAAGCCCATCACTCTGATTCTCATTATGCTTCAGCACTTTTTCATTACAAAAAAGAATTTGCTATCAAATTCTATAATATTACGAACCTTATTTTTCTTGATAACAAGCATCGCTACAAAGTTAAAGAATTTGGTTTTTCCATTGCTGCAGTAAAAAAAGGCAAACAGATTATTGTTAGCAAAAACAGTACATTTACTGTGACATACCTGAATCAATTAATGGTGATTTCTATATAGAAAAAGTCTATATCAGCTTAAAAGACCCAATTTTTTAACCTTCATCACCTCTTCACCATGTATTTGAATTGTATAATACCCTCATCAAAGAAGCAATTGAGAACAAATCTGTCTTGTGCTTATATACAGATGGTGGTTCAGATCACTGCTGTACATTTACACAAGTTCAGTTTTCCTATATTTGTCTATTTTTAGCCTTAGATCTTGACTACTTTGTTGCCGTAAAGACACCTCTGCAATATTCTTGGAAGAACCCTGTCAAAAGAATAATGTCAATTTTGAATTTGGGGTTACAATGTGTAGATTTGATGCAAAGCGAAATAGATGATTATTTAGAAGTATTAATGAATAAAGCTAATACTATGTATAAAATACGAAATCTTGCTGAAAAAAATCCTGATTTGAAAACTAGGTTAAATACAAGTCTGCAACAGCCAATTCGTTTGGTTCATGATATTTTTAAGCATCATTCCTTGAAAGAGGTACTATTTGAAACCTACGATGCAGCAACTGATGAAGAGATAGAAAGTTTTTGGAAAACTATTCAATATATAGATAAAATATGACGTGCAATGATAATACTATAAAATGCATAAAACAAAGAGTAAATAAAATTGCATGTTAAAACTGTCTGAAATATATTAATAACATATATCATTTTAATAAAACTACAATTAAAAGAGTTTATAGATCATTGCTGTTTTGCACGGCATTATTTCTTTACTATCAAAAATATAGCAAAATTGGCTGCTTAATTTGTTATCCTTATCATTGTGACCCAGAAGAGTTTGAATTACTTGAGTGACTTTCTGATCCTATTCTAGGCGATAACCTACACTACAAATCATTTGATGAATTGTATAACTACTTCTATAACAAAACAATACTGACTCTCGCTTAAAGATTCTAAGTTAAAAAAAACAAAAGCTAGAAAAACAAAAAGTGTAACATTAAAAATAAAATATTCTATGCCATTTTTTCCATCAGCAGCCTATGTGAAAAATGTTGGCATTACTGTAACCTGCGTTGAGTATGAAAAATCACGCCTTTTATTCAGTATAAAAAAATGTACAAACAAGGACTGAAAAATACTTTGAGGATTTTTGGATACTATTTTATATACATGTAGTATATCTTTTTATAATATATATAATTTAACAAAAACTTCTAATATATCGCAACAGGCCTCTAATTTAAATGATGATACTAGCTCTGAAGCCTCTAATTTTAACAATGTAAAAGTAAATGAATATAATAAAATTATTGATGTTGATGAAATTGATAACAAGTTTGATCAAAATGATGAACTTGATAACAATGATGAAGTTGACAATAGTGAGCAAGAATCTTGTAAGTCAAATGAACCTGATGAAGATGATAAAAATAAGGAATAGAAATCTTATGAATCTGATAAATATGAAAGTGATAAGAAAGAAAAAACTAATCTGACAGACCCAATTCAAGAACTCTTTAAAAAAGTATTTGTTAATTATGCATGGACATATGCATCGCCAATTGAAAAACCATATTATTCAGCAACTATATTTCCTATTATATACTACAATTGCAGTAGTTCGGAAGTTTCAGAGCCATCAAAAGGCAAGTGACCACTCTGTACTAGATGCACTGGTATTACAATGCCAAAAAAATATCTGAAGTAGAAACAAGGTACCAAATTTAAAGAAAAAGCGAAACAGCATCACAATTAAGCAATTTTATATACTACGCTACTGAGATATCTTTCTTTTTAGCCTTATTTTTGCGAGGTTATATAAATTGATATTTTTATTACGCTATTTTCTTTTCGTATAGCAAAAATATTTTTTTTTGTTTAAATTGCTCAATATCAATATATACAAAGTCTTAGATATTGAATAAATATTGCGAATAATGATGTATTAGGCCCAATTCAGACAAACATTCAATTTATACGTATAAGACATAATATTGTTAAAATTTATGTTTATAATTTATTAATACATATTTGTCTAGAAAGAATTGTAGTATCTAAAGATGATAAAATGAATCACTGTACTTAGCATTACTCTTTATAGTTCGGTTATATTTATTTCAATTAAAAACCAAGTTGGTTTGCATTGTAATGATAAAAAATAGTATATATGTATGTATGTATGTACCAGAACTGTTAGTTACACTACATACTATTCTGTCTAATCTAACTAGAAGATTTCGATTAAGGTGTGAAAAGACATGATTCAGGTTTTAGATTAAAGCTTTAGATTACACTATAAGGCATCACAGAGTATCATAAAATTGATTAATACATAATATAGATACTCTGATATGTGAATAATTAGTAGAACTAATTAGAAATGGTAGAAAATTAGTAAACCCAGAATAATAAGACTAAGCTCTTAGATATATTACATGACTGATTCTTCACCCGGTATGCAACATATAAAAAAAATTATTTACAATACCAGATCATTCTGCTAGTATATGTTATGATTATAATCTAACACCATTTTATTATAATAAAAATAGTAATCATAATATATCTAGCAGAATGATCTGGTTTGTAAAATAATTTTTTTATATGTTGCACACCAGGTGAAGAATCAGTCATATAATATCAACAGAAGGTGAAGAATTATTAAAGTATGATTTTTAAGCATTAGATTCTTAATCATAGGGCTAATGATTAAATTCGAACTGTCTTCAGAGCTATTCTAGTTTCAAGTTATATTTGTTCAAGGTAAAACGCTGGCTTTTAAATACATTCTTCATTACTATCTAATTTACTAATATTTTCTATTCTATTTACTATCTACCATATCCCACACATCTGCTATATATATACAATCTACGCTATATATCTATTTTTACT